CCTGGAGCAAAAGCAGGACTGGGTTTGGAGAGGAGAGGAGGCACTCAAGGAATCTTCGAAAAGTGAAATGTAAAAGCTCTAGGCAAGGAGAGAAAAGGTGGGTCTCGGATGACTCCTTGGCATGAGTGAACGGGTGGAGGACAGTACCTTTAACTGAAATAGAAAACGAGGGAACCTCTCTTGGAACATGTGGGGTTCGAAGAGCTATGGAGGACCTAGGGAGTGATGAACAGAAGGGCACTGAGTCGTGACTCGAGCTCAGGCGAGAAGTCAGCACTGGAGATAGAGGTTTGAGAGTCGTCAGTGTTTGAGGCGCGTGTGACAGTGGGACTTAAATCCATGGAAGTGCGTGATGGACTCGCTTAGGGAGGCTGTGAAGGGTGAGAACAGGACCTCTGAGACTGGAGTCACCGGGAAGGGTCCAGTCGACTCTGTCCTTGCCTCCTCCTGGTTATTAAGTCCTCCCTCAGTCTTTTACCCTCTGGGCAACATAAGTCGCTAGCTGTCACTCCTGGTCCCATTTTCCTTGGCCTTTTCATTTTTACTTTCCTATCCTCTGGGTCAGCCATATAGGCTGTATAATCTGTGGAAATGTGGAAACCTTGAACCAACATGCACCTGTGGTGAAGCAGATGACAACAGTGGCCCAGGTGACCTTCACCACAGCAGCCAGAGTCACTCTTGACTTTCTAGTACAGAACACGGGATGGAGAAAGGAAAGGAGGTAGAAGAGGAAGAGACAGTTTCGGGCCAGGGTCTAAAGGGGTGCTGTCCCATACGGTGGCCACTAGCCACAGGTGGCTATTTAAATTTAACTAAAACTAAGTAACATAAAAATTGCAGTTCCTCCTTTGCACTCGCCACGTTTCAAGTGTTCAGTAACCACACGTGGCTAGTGGCCACTGTATTGGAAAGTGCAGATGTAGAACATTTCCTTCATCACAGAAATTTTTTTTTTTTAAGATTTTTATTTATTTATTTATTTTTTCCCCCCAAAGCCGCAGTAGATAGTTGTATATCATAGCTGCACATCCTTCTAGTTGCTGTATGTGGGACGCGGCCTCAGCATGGCCGGAGAAGCGGTACATCGGTGCGTGCCCGGGATCCGAACCGGGGCCAACAGCAGCGGAGTGCGCGCACTTAACCGCTAAGCCACGGGGCCGGCCCAATCATCACAGAAATTTTTATTGGACAGAGCCAGAAAGCAGCTATAAATATTATCTTCCTTCTGGACTTTTTTGAAGGCCTGCAAAGGCTTTTTGAAGAGTTCACATGGGGGAGAAATTGAAAGGAGGGCATTGGAGGGTTGGGCAATAGTAAACTATTCTAGGTGTAAAAGTGAAGGATGTCATGAAGAGGGTGGGGAGAATAAGCAAAGCCAATCCAAGGATCTCGGGGAGAGGTATGATAGTGAAACCAATTATTTTTGCTGGGGAGAAAGTTCATGGGGAAGTAGGAAAGCCACAGAAACTTTGGTTGTGATGTTGATACCATAAAAGACAGATGGTGACCACCAGGACGTCAGTAGCTAAGGAGAAGATCCCAAGTCAGAGAGCGGCAAGCCAGTATCCCGGTAGCCTGTTGTGTGTTTTCCCAAACCACTCAAAGAAACAAGGTTGAGAGGGCTCTGAGATTGAGTCCAAAATGGTGTGTGAGGGCTAGGAAATCAGTGATTTATTGAGCTCTTCCTCTTTGGTGCCTAGCATTGTGCGGGGTATTGTGCACAGAAGGAGACAGTCAGTCAGGGTGGGGGAACCAAGAAAGGCTATTTGGAGTTGGGAACAATGGGTAAGGATTTGCAAAGTCAGGAGAGATCAGGGAGGCATTCCTGAGAAGGAGTACCCATGGAGATGGGACAGTGCGCTGTCTGGTCTGACTGGTGGAAAGACAGTGCTGGATACATGTCCCTTTTCAAGTGGTACTTTGTCTCCCCATCTATTCCTTGAGGGCAGGGACCATGTGTTTCTCATTCAGCTTTGTGTCTCCATCATATAGCACAGTGCCTAACACCTAGTAAGAGCTCAATAAAAGTCTCTTAATGTGCAAGAGTTCAAGCTTGATATAGACGGCAAAAAGAAAACTTAGAACTTTTTTTTAGTTTAACTCTACTTAAATGTGAGTAGAATATGAAGATGGATACAACTTGACTGGTAGTGTTCATGATGAATGTGCCTTAGTGGTGTTGTGATGATGATTTCTTAAGTAACCCTCCTGGGGGCAACATACTCAACACAAACATGATCAAAGTTAAGCTGGTTTAGGTTTCCAGGAAGCTGGAGAGGGGAAGGAATTCACTTAAGAATGAGATGAAAATAATTAGAATTGAACACCTTCCACACATCAGTGAGGTAAAATTTCTAGGATGTCAGGCCAGAAGTCCTAGTTTCCAGGGGTCTCCTGCCTCCCTTGTTCTCACCTGGGCTCCTTTTCCCCCGCTCCAGAAAATGTGTAAGCACAGGTTTCCCCATTCAACTAGTAGAGAAATTCTTGTTTGGACTGTGGAGTAATAGAACTCTAGTAATAGGCAAGCCTCCATAAGCCCTCAGAAATAGTTCTCTGGGAAGGAGCACACACAGGCTGGCATCATTTACCCCTGTTGGCCCCAGAGAGCCAGAGACTAATCCTGAGGACTATGGGGGTAGGCTTTCAGCATCCCACTCACTCCAAATTCATCCCCAAGTCTCCTTCTAGCTTCTTTCTCATGAAGCCAAGACTTCAGGAAACTGGTCTGTTGTCCAAACAGACACAGAAGCCTAAGGGATGCTTCTCTCATGCAGGAAGGGAATTAGATCCAGGCCTCCTGCTTCCTAGATCTTTTCCTGTGGTCCCTGAGGATCCCAGTGTCCAAACTCTTAGATTCTCAAGGCGCTCCCTTGGGCCCTGGGGCAGGATTCCCATTCTCTGCCTCTCCATCTCCATGGAATTTTCCACTGCAGCTGCCTCCGCTCCCAGACACCCCTCCCTGGGCAAAATTCCCGGCTCCCTCCGCCTCCCCTTCCCTAATCACACCTCATTCCCACCCCCGGCCCCGAGGCCCAGCCCACAGTCCGGCCCACACCCCACACTAATCCTGGTGGTCCCAGTTAGAGAACTAGGAGGCCAGGCCCTTATAGAAGGGTGAGAGGGAGGGTCCTAGGCTCTCTCCAGGGCGGGCAGACAGGACAGTGGAGGGGCTGGTCCCCTGTGGGGCTGGAGTGGGGGGAGTGGCCCTCCTCAAATCCCCATATAAGGCAGGGCAAGCAGTTAGGCTCCTGGATTGGCTGATTCAAATGAGCATTCCACCTGGCAACAGGGTTTCTATTGGCTCTCAGGAAAAATAGGAGGAAGGTGGATGGAGGTTGTTGGTGGCGGTGATTGAAGGGGGGAGGGGAGTGGAGGTGACCGGAGTGGGGGGCGGTTACCAGGGCAACAGGGTAAGAGCCCAGCAGGGTGTCCGAGACAGCAGGCGGGGCTGGGAGGTGGAGAAGAGGGAAGAGGAAAGGAGAGTTGGGAGGGAGAGGAAAGAGACTGACAGGGAGGGAGAGCCACAGGGAGACTGCGGGGGGGCGCGGGGGGGGGGGGGGGGGGGAGCGGGAGAGAAATGAAGCAAGAGAGTACAGAGATAGAGAGGGTCAGAGATCGCTCAAGACATCAGCGAGTGAGTCAGAGAAACAGATTGAGAGAGAGATGGAAAGATCTCAGAGAAAGATGCACAGGGTTCGGCAAGGAAAGACCTGGGTGGGGCTCAAAGATTTTTGAGGAGTCAGAGACTGAGAAACTGATAGAAGAATCAGAAAAAGAAATTGGGAGGTGTGTACACCAAGGGACCAAAGGATGGTGTATTTAAGCGCTCAGATACTAAATGATGATGACGGATCAGTGTCTTTTTTATTAAGTGAAAATGATAAAAAAAAAAAAGAGGGATAATGATAATGATAGACAAATATGGGAGTGCACACACACCAAAGATACCTTTTTCTAAGCCTAGCCTTCCACCCCATCTACCTTCTGACCTTTAGTACACACCCCAGCTCCTGTGCCCTCCTGAAATCCCAAGCTTCTCAAAATGACTCAAAGATACTAAGACTGAGGGCAAACAACTGAGGATGTGTGGAATAGGGTGGGGCTGGAACTCCAGACCTGGACCCCTTGCAAAGGAGGCAATATAATCCAGGAAGACTGGGGAAGATGGCATCGGAGGAAAGAACAGCAAAGAGAGGGAAAATGTGGATAATAAGGACACGAAGAGAAAGTTGAGGAAAATCAGCTAAGGATATGGGGCCAGGTGACAGACTCAGATGAGACAAGAACAGGATATCTGGAGAGCAAGGGAAAAAGATCAGAGGTGGAAGGGTAGAGGGCAAAGGAGAAGTGGAGAAGAGGTGACAGAAGAGTAAGAGATGTGAGATATGGATGGTTGTGAGGGAGGGGTCTGGGTACCAATGAATGAGGAGGGATGAAGGGAAATAGAAGGACCAGGCAAAGAAAAGTGAGGTAAGACGGGCGAATAAGAAAGATCCAAGATGGAAGAGAGGAAAGGAGACTGGAGAGCCTCTGAGTCCCCTCAGATCACAAGAAAGAGACAGGAGGGGAGGAACCCTGCAGGGGTCACAGATGTCGGCCTCGGGCAGGACAGAGGGTGGGCTGCCCTTTCTCCCCTCCCATCTCTCAGGGGCACCCAGAGAATGTAGATGCAGGATGAGAGGGGAAATCCAGCGTGATGTGGAAGTAGCTCTCCACCCTCTTCCTCTTCTTCAAGCTTTTGGTTTCTCAAATACCTGCCCGGCCTTCCCATCTGCTCCCGTCACTCCATCCTTTGGCAAAATCTCAGGGCTTTTGGGGGGATCAGGAGTATTCTGGCCATCCCTCCAGTCCGCCCTCAAAAGACAGACTCCACCACATTCCCAGGCAGTAGGTCGGGATTCGGAGAGGTCCCTCCCCGCAGGATCCCCACCCCTTCCCACCTCCTCGCCCCACTCTTTTCTCCGCGACCGTCAGTCTCTCCATTTCCCCCTGCTGGTCTTGTCCCTCCCGCCTCTCGCGCTCTCCCTCCCCTCGCTTTCATCCTCCTATCCCCACCTCTCCAACCTCCGCTTTCATCCCCCTCCCCTCTCCTCTCCTCCCCGCTCCCGCCTGCCCCACCCCTGGGAAGCCCCTCCCGTCGGGCAGCTCCGCCTATATAAGCGGGTTCCCTGCCCGGGGGCGGCAGCGGCTGGTCGGCGGCAGCTCTGCTGGTGCGGGGGCGGCGAGCCGAGGACCGAGCGACCGCGGCCGGAGCGCGCCGGCCACCGCCCGCACCGCCCTTGCGCCCGCCCTCCGGACGGCCGCAGCCCTGCGGGTCTCCGCTCCAGACCCACCCCCGCCCCACCCCGCGCGCCTCTGCCGCCTCTTCCAGAGACCCAGCTTGCTGAGCGGCCGCCGCTGCTGCTGTCGCCGCCGCCGCCGCCACCGCGCCAGGTTCCGGCCGCGGCCACCCTCCGCCGTCCAGGGCCCCTCCGTCCCGCCCGCGGGACCCCGGCTCCCCGCCAGCTCCGGCCCCGGCACCATGTCGGAGAAGAGCGTGGAGGCAGCGGCCGAGTTGAGCGCCAAGGTACGGGCGGGCCGGCGGCGGCCTGGACCCCGCGCGACCCCGCGCCACCCCTGGGCTCCGTGCGGTCTGGTGCCTCGGGCCCCCGCGACGGCCGCACACTGCCCCGGCGCCGGGTCCCCGCGGACCCCTCTCCGCCCTCCCCCCGCTCCCCAGACTGGCGCTGCTGCCCCGCGCCGCGCGGCTTCCGCCAGCGCCCTCTAGCTTCCCGAGCGCAGCGCGCCGCTCCGGCCCCGCCGCCCCGGCCCGCCGCCGTCCCCACCCCTCTCCGGCCCCGGCTCGCGCCTCGACCCGGGCCGGTTTCCCGTCGGAGCTCTCCGCGTCTGCCTTTACGGTGCCCCCTGTCCCGCTCCCCTCTCCCCGCGCCCGGGTTCCCCGTCTCCTCTTGCAGTCTGCCCTCACCTTTCCTCTGCTAAGCGGTTTGAGATCCTCAAGTGTAAACAGGACTCTCTCGGGAGGCGACTCCTCTCGGGCCCCTCCCCTCGAGGCCCGACCGCCTCTTGCTTCTCTCCGCAGACAGCACTGCCTCTATTTTCTCATTCCCTCCTTTCCTTCCATCTATATCCGGATATTCCTTGCTCCACTGGCCTTCAGCTTCATTTTCTCTCCCTAGCCCTCCTCCAGCCTCTCCCCTACACTTAAAGAATCTTGAGTTCCTAAAAATCAGAAGGGGGGCGGGAATGGCCTTCGAAACAGCTGGGTCTCAGCGTTGCATGGCATTGCCTCGAGCCCTCCTTGCTCTCATCAGCTCCCTTCCCTGGCCCCCTCCCTTTGCCCTTGCCTCTCTTCCAGCCTTCCTCTAATTTCTCTAGGGAACCTGCTGAGCGTCGCTTTGGGAAATTAATTCGGCCAGGGTTTGGGGGCTGGGAGCCCAACCTTGGGGGGTTGCTGAGGAACAGTCACAGAGGTCTCCCTGAGGTCTGTGAAGTGAGAGCGGGGAACCAACCAGACGAAAAGCAGTGGGAGAGAAGGGGCTATGTGTCAGATCTGACAGGGGGTGCCGTGTGGCCCTCCGGTGGGCTGTGCGGTGGCATGTGACTTCACTGAGTAGGTGTCTCTGTATGTCTGAAATCCAGCGGGTGTGTGGGACTGCCCGCGTCAGTTACATGTGTGCGTGTGGAGATGGAGATGATCTGGAGCCATGTTGCCGCTTTGTGAGTGCCGAGTGGCTCCACTGTGCTCTTGTGCTGTCTCAAGAGTGTGTGCCAGAATGCCCAAACACCTGGCCATGTGTCTCCCGGTCGCGTGGGTACTCCTCTGTAGCTGTGTGTGTGAATCGGTGTCAGCCTGTGTCAGTGTGTGTGCCTGTGTTGAGTAAATGAGGCCAGAGAGCTGCTTAGCACAAGACCCAGGTCACATACCCTCCTGGAATAGGGATCATGGAAGGACAGTGACCAGAAGGACAGGACAGGGGAGGAGAGGGCCCGGCCCCTTGGACTTTGGTTTCTGGTAGTCTCACTCCCTCCCTTGCACTCTCTGTGCCCCCCTCCCTCCATCAGCCCAGATGGGAAACTCAGGCCAGGGCCACACAGACCTGGTGCTGGGGCCCCCAGAGAGAGGCTGACTAGCCCCTGGCTCTCCAGGCCTAGGATGTAGGGGAAAGCCCACCGGGTAGCAGAAATGTGGTGCTGACAATGTGGCAAAGAAATGAGGAGAGCGAAGTGGCATGAAGCAGCCTAGCTGGAGTGAGAAAGTCCAGCGATCTGTGCTCCCCTTAAAGGGAGAGGGAATTGAGTGTCCCTCCAGGCCAACCATTTTGCACCAACCCCCTCTTCTATCCCCAGTCCTGTTCCAGAAAGGACACACCCTCCCAGGGTGCTGTCCTCACCCAAAAAACTTCCATCCTCATGGAATCAGATACACAGGGTTGCACACCAACACCAGATCAGATCACACGGAGACACCCACAGTGTCGCTCAGTGCCTGCCAAGGGGTGGGGTGGGAGAGGACTGGAATCTAAACTGGAAGGGCCACTGTGGTGACCAGAGGGAGGGGACTATCTCATGAGCATATCCTGCCCCATCAGAATAAGACATCAAGAAGGTGCCTGCTGGGACCGTGGGGTGAACGGGAGAGGGGCAGTGTGGAGGGAGGGTGTTCTAGACAGGTACCTTCCCCAAATACATTCCCATCCCACCCTAGACACAGACCTTGTTTGTCTCTCTTTCCATCTCCCATGTCCTATACGCTTTCCCTTCCACGTTTCTTTTATCCTGCTTTACCTACCATCCCCCTGGAGACGGTTACTCCTACTCTCCACCACATACCATGGGTGGTAGGGAGGAGGAAATGACTTGAACTGTTTTTGGGTGGCAGTGGGAAAAAGTGAGAGGGGGTGCTGGAATCGTGCTAGGGTGCTCTCCCTGTTCCTGTAGTGTTTGGCCAAGTAGGAGCCTGAGGATTCTGGGGACACACAGACACAGACACAAAGCCTTTCGAAGCTGAAGGGGAAGCTGGGAGGGATGCCCAGGAGGGAGTACTCAGGAAAAGGCCCCAGAGGTAGACAAAGGCAGGGCAGGCCGGGGAGGGGGTGGGGCATCAGGGCTGTGAGCAGATGGAGGGGATTTGCTTTGCTGAGCTGAACTCTTCAGCTAGTGAGGTTTGGGAGAACCTGAGGGGGTGGTGAGCAGTTCCCTTGGCCGCCTATTCCCCTCTCTTCATCCCTTCTCCTCCTCTCTTGAGTCTTGGGGAAAAGGTGTCTGGTCACAGCCCCTTGTGGCCTTAAGGACCCTGGCCTTCTGTTCTGTCTCTAAGGTGCTGTGACCACCATCTCCATTTCACACTTGTCTAAGCTCACCGCAGATGGAGAACCGGGGCTGGAGGACTTATGGGCTGTAGATCGTTTGTGGTGAGAGGAAGGTGACCTCTTTCTCTCTCGCAGGACTTGAAGGAGAAGAAAGAGAAGGTGGAGGAGAAGGCAAGCCGGAAAGAGCGAAAGAAAGAAGTGGTGGAGGTGCGGAGGGGTGTGGGGGGTGACCACACCTGCCCACTATCCCCCCTCCAGTTACCTTCCTTTCCTTTGACCCCTCCCATTCTCCCTGTCCCTCCCTTCGGGCCCTGGCAATGCCCCTTGCTGTTGGTGGAGGCACACAGCCAGCCTGACACTGTCCCTCTCCTGGTCCCCACAGGAGGAGGAGAACGGAGCTGAGGAGGAAGAAGAAGAAACTGCTGAGGACGGAGAGGAGGAGGATGAAGCGGAAGAAGAAGGTGGGGAGGGGCAGGGGAGGGTGGGCTTAAAGGAACAGAGTCAGGGTGGGTTTGAAGACCTGAAGCAGGGCTGAGGGCGACCACAGGGGGTCTCTGCCGGAGCTTCCTGCCCTTCCCCAATGACCCATTTCTGGCTCCTCAGATGAGGAAGAAGAAGAAGATGATGACGAAGGGCCTGCGCTGAAGAGAGCTGCTGAAGAGGAGGTTTGGGCTGGGTTGTGGGCCTGAGGGGCTGTCAGGGATGCAGCAGGGCTGGGAGTCCTTTGGATTTGGACCCAGATCCCTGTGGTGCACGGGGCGGGGGGCTGGAGCAGGGTCGGGACAGGGGCAGGTCCCTCTCCCATGTTAGAGCTACCCAACTCTTCCTCTCACAGGATGAAGCGGATCCCAAGCGGCAGAAGACAGAAAATGGGGCATCGGCATGAGCCCCCTGCCAGTGGGCTGGGGGTGGGAGGCCCCTCAGGGCCTGGAGGTGGGGTGGGAACAGATGAGTGCAGCCACTTTTCACCTGGCTCCTTGCTCTGGGCCCTGCACCAGAGCTGCCACCCTCTTTCTCCCCAGCCTTCTCATGTCCGCCTCTCCAGACACTGCCCCTCCCTCATCCTTACTCTGCCATTGTTCCACCTCCTGACCTGCTCCATCTGAGCTCCCCAGCTGGTCCCCAGTGGCTCCTCTCCCCTTCCTTGCCCTCTTCCTCCCTCCTCCAGCCAATCCCACCCCTCTTCTGGTAGCCTCTCCTTCCTCACCTCTGCATCCCAGCCTCGTGTCCTGCCCATCCCTCCCCTGCCTGATCCCTGGGTCTCCCTCAGATTCCCTTCTCTCAGACAGCGCCAGGCCGGGGTGGGGCCGGGGTTGGGGCCAAGCCCCACAGCCGCCCCCCTCCCCTCCCCTTTTTGTATAATTTAATAAAGAAATGGTCGCGCTTCTGTTTTTAACCTGTCTCCTGCTTTCCCGGGGCCGAGTGAGGAGAGTGGGGCAGAGGGAGGAGGGTAGCCGATGTCACATTCTGTCGGGACCCCATTCTATAAAATAGCAGCAGCACTCCCCTACCACCCACCCCTCAAGAAGACAGGATCAGCCCTCCAGGGGTGGACACAGAGCATGGCTTCTTTGAGAGCTGACTCTGTCCTGGTTTTGGATTCTTGGGGATGCTCCTGCCTAGCCACACACACTTCCCTGCTAGCCCACACCAGGTCTAGACACTGCTGAGTCCAGTGGAAAGCTACCAGCTCTGTTGTGCTGAACCAGGCAAAGAAACAGCCTCAGAAACAGGAAGTTCCACCCCTGAAGTGGGAGAGGGCTGGGAGGCCTGGGTCTCAAGCCCTCGGACCAGGAGTGCGAGTTGCCTGGCGTTAAAGGTGCCCTTGGCCTGGCTCTGAGGAAGCAGGGGAGAATTCCAGGTCTTTGAGTTTCTGGCACCCGCTCTCCACCTCTCCCAGCTGGGCTCCTCTGGCGGGGTGGGGGTGGGGGTGG